AGAAGATAAATGTTTTTTATAAACCTAGCCATAGCCTGTCCTGTGTCCAGGTGGGGGCACAGCCTGTCGTGTGTCGAGGTAGGGGCACAACCTGACCTGTGTCCAGGTGGGGGCACAAATGGATCTGTGTCCAGGAGGGGGCACAGCCTGATCTGTGTCCAGGTGGGGGCACAGTCTGATCTGTGTTGACGTGGGGGTACAACCTGACTGTCAAAGTAGGGGCACAGCCTGATCTGTGTCCAGGTGGGGGCACATCCTGTACTGTGTCAAGGTATGGGAAACAGCCTGTACTGTGTTGGGGTGGGGGTACAGCATGACGGTGTCAAGGTGGGGGCACAGCCTGTCCTGTGTTTAAGTGGGGGAAATAACCTGCCTGTGTTATATGTTGGCACAGCCTGTCCTGTGCAAGGTGTAGATGCAGAATGCAGTGGCTGACTTCTATCAATGTGTGGATGCAGTGAATGTCCTGTATCAAGGTGTGGATGCAGTGAATGCAGTGGCTGTCCTGTATCAAGGTGTGGATGCGGTGAATGCAGTGGCTGTTCTCTATCAAGCTGTGGATGCAGTGGCTGTCCTATATCAAGGTGTGGGAGCAGTGAATGCAGTGGCTGTCCTGTTTCAAGGTGTGGGTGCAGTGAATGCAGTGGCTGTCCTGTATCAAGCTGTGGATGCAGTGGCTGTCCTGTATCAAGGTGTGGATGAGGTGGATGTCCTGTATCAAGGTGTGGATGCAGTAAATGCAGTGGCTGTCCTGTATCAAGCTGTGGATGCAGTGATGTCCTGTATCAAGGTGTGGGTGCAGGGGATGTCCTGTATCAAGGTGTGGGTGCAGTGAATGCAGTGGCTGTCCTGTTTCAAGGTGTGGATGCAGTAGCTGTCCTGTATCAAGGTGTGGGCGCATTGAATGCAGTGGCTGTCCTGTGTCAAGGTATGGGAGCAGTGAATGCAGTGGCTGTACTGTATCAAGGTGTGGGTGCAGTGGCTGTCCTATATCAAGGTGTGGGAGCAGTGAATGCAGTGGCTGTCCTGTATCAAGGTGTGGGAGCAGTGAATGCAGTGGCTGTCCTGTATCAAGGTGTGGATGCAGTGAACGCAGTGGCTGTCCTGTATCAAGGCGTGGATGCAGTGAATGTCCTGTATCAAACTGTGGGTGCAGTGAATGCAGTGGCTGTCCTGTGTCAAGGTATGGGAGCAGTGAATGCAGTGGCTGTACTGTATCAAGGTGTGGATGCAGTGGCTGTCCTATATCAAGGTGTGGGAGCAGTGAATGCAGTGGCTGTCCTGTATCAAGGTGTGGGAGCAGTGCATGCAGTGGCTGTCCTGTATCAAGCTGTGGGTGCAGTGCATGCAGTGGCTATCCTGTATCAAGCTGTGGGTGCAGTGCATGCAGTGACTGTCCTGTATGAAGCTGTGGGTGCAGTGGATGTCCTGTACCAAGCTGTGGGTGCAGTGGCTGTCCTGTAGCAAGCTGTGGGTGCAGTGAATGCAGTGGCTGTCCTGTATCAAGGTGTGGATGCAGTGAATGTCCTGTATCAAGCTGTGGGTGCAGTGAATGCAGTGGCTGTCCTGTATCAAGGTGTGGGAGCAGTGAATGCAGTGGCTGTCTTGTATCAAGGTGTGGATGCAGCGAGTGCAGTGGCTCTTCTGTATCAAGGTGTGGGTGCAGTGAATGCAGAGGCGGTCCTGTATCAAGGTGTGGATTCAGTGAATGTCCTGTTTCAAGGTGTGGGTGCAGTGAATGCAGTGGCTGTCCTGTTTCAAGGTGTGGGTGCAGTGAATGCCGTGGATGACCTGTATCAAGCTGTGGATGCAGTGGCTGTCCTGTATCAAGCTGTGAATGCAGTGGCTGTCCTATATCAAGGTGTGGGAGCAGTGAATGCAGTGCCTGTCCTGTATCAAGCTGTGGGTGCAGTGAATGCAGTGGCTGTCCTGTATCAAGGATTCAGTGAATGTCCTGTTTCAAGATGTGGGTGCAGTGGCTGTCCTGTATCAAGTTGTGGGTGTAGTGAATGCAGTGACTGTCCTGTATTAAGGTGTGGGTGCAGTGAATGTCCTTAATCAAGCTGTGGGTGCAGTGAAAGCAGTGAATGCCCTGTTTCAAGATGTGGGTGCAGTGAATGCCCTGTATCAAGTTGCAGGTGCAGCGAATGTCCTGTATCAAGCTGTGGGTGCAGTGAATGTCCTGTATAAAGCTGTGGGAGCAGTGAATGCAGTGAATGTCCTGTATCAAGCTTTGGGTCAGTGAATGTCCTGTATCAAGCTGTGGATGCAGTGACTGTCCTGTATTAAGGTGTGGGTGCAGCGAATGTCCTGTATCAAGCTGTGGGTGCAGCGAATGTCCTGTATCAAGCTGTGGGTGCAGTGAATGTCCTGTATCAAGCTGTGGGTGCAGTAAATGTCCTGTATCAAGCTGTGGGTGCAGTGCATGCAGTGGCTGTCCTGTATCAAGCTGTGGGTGCAGTGAATGCATTGAATGTCCTGTATCAAGCTGTGGGTGCAGTGGCTATCCTGTATCAATCTGTGGATGCAGTGAATGTCCTGTACCAAGCTGTGGGTGCAGTGGCTGTTCTGTATCAAGCTGTGGGTGCAGTGAATGCAATGAATGCCCTGTATCAAGCTGTGGGTGCAGTGAATGTCCTGTAGCAAGCTGTGGGTGCAGTGAATGCAGTGGCTGTCCTGTTTCAAGGTGTGGATGCAGTGGCTGTCTTGTATCAAGGTGTGGGCGCATTGAATGCAGTGGTTGTCCTATATCAAGGTGTGGATGCAGTGAACGCAGTGGCTGTCCTGTATCAAGGTGTGGATGCAGTGAATGTCCTGTATCAAGCTGTGGGTGCAGTGAATGCAGTGGCTGTCCTGTATCAAGGTGTGGGAGCAGTGAATGCAGTGGCTGTCTTGTATCAAGGTGTGGATGCAGTGAGTGCAGTGGCTCTTCTGTATCAAGTTGTGGATGCAGTGGGTGTCCTATAACAAGGTGTGGGAGCAGTGAATGCAGTGGCTGTCCTGTATCAAGGTGTGGATTCAGTGAATGTCCTGTTTCAAGGTGTGGGTGCAGTTGCTGTTCTGTATCAAGCTGTGGGTGCAGTGAATGTCCTGTATCAAGCTGTGGGTGCAGTGAATGTCCTGTATCAAGCTGTGGGTGCAGTGAATGCAGTGGCTGTCCTGTTTCAAGGTGTGGGTGCAGTGAATGTCCTGTATCAAGCTGTGGATGCAGTGGCTGTTCTGTATCAAGTTGTGGATGCAGTGGCTGTCCTATATCAAGGTGTGGGAGCAGTGAATGCAGTGCCTGTCCTGTATCAAGCTGTGGGTGCATTGAATGCAGTGGCTGTCCTGTATCAAGGATTCAGTGAATCTCCTGTTTCAAGATGTGGGTGCAGTGGCTGTCCTGTATCAAGTTGTGGGTGTAGTGAATGCAGTGGCTGTCCTGTATCAAGCTGTGGATGCAGTGACTGTCCTGTATTAAGGTGTGGGTGCAGTGAATGTCCTGTATCAAGCTGTGGGTGCAGTGAAAGCAGTGGATGTCCTGTATCAAGGTGTGGATTCAGTGAATGTCCTGTTTCAAGATGTGGGTGCAGTGAATGCCCTGTATCAAGCTGCGAGTGCAGCGAATGTCCTGTATCAAGCTGTGGGTGCAGTGAATGTCCTGTATCAAGCTGTGGGAGCAGCGAATGTCCTGTATCAAGCTGTGGGTGCAGTGACTGTCCTGTATTAAGGTGTGGGTGCAGCGAATGTCCTGTATCAAGCTGCGGGTGCAGTGAATGTGCTGTATCAAGCTGTGGGTGCAGTGAATGTCCTGTATCAAGCTGTGGGAGCAGTGAATGTCCTGTATCAAGCTGTGAGTGCAGCGAATGTCCTGTATCAAGCTGTGGGTGCAGTGACTGTCCTGTATTAAGGTGTGGGTGCAGCGAATGTCCTGTATCAAGCTGCGGGTGCAGTGAATGTCCTGTATCAAGCTGTGGGAGCAATGAATGCAGTGAATGTCCTGTATCAAGCTGTGGGTGCAGCGAATGTCCTGTATCAAGCTGTGGGTGCAGCGAATGTCCTGTATCAAGCTGTGGGTGCACTGAATGCAGTGAATGTCCTGTATCTAGCTGTAGGTGCAGTGAATGTCCTGTATCAAGCTGTGGGTGCAGTGAATGTCCTGTATCAAGCTGTGGGTGCAGCGAATGTCCTGTATCAAGCTGTGGGTGCAGTGAATGTCCTGTATCAAGCTGTGGGTTCAGTGAATGCCCTGTATCAAGCTGTGGATGCAGTGGCTGTTCTGTATCAAGTTGTGGATGCAGTGGCTGTCCTATATCAAGGTGTGGGAGCAGTGAATGCAGTGCCTGTCCTGTATCAAGCTGTGGGTGCATTGAATGCAGTGGCTGTCCTGTATCAAGGATTCAGTGAATCTCCTGTTTCAAGATGTGGGTGCAGTGGCTGTCCTGTATCAAGTTGTGGGTGTAGTGAATGCAGTGGCTGTCCTGTATCAAGCTGTAGATGCAGTGACTGTCCTGTATTAAGGTGTGGGTGCAGTGAATGTCCTGTATCAAGCTGTGGGTGCAGTGAAAGCAGTGGATGTCCTGTATCAAGGTGTGGATTCAGTGAATGTCCTGTTTCAAGATGTGGGTGCAGTGAATGCCCTGTATCAAGCTGCGGGTGCAGCGAATGTCCTGTATCAAGCTGTGGGTGCAGTGAATGTCCTGTATCAAGCTGTGGGAGCAGCGAATGTCCTGTATCAAGCTGTGGGTGCAGTGACTGTCCTGTATTAAGGTGTGGGTGCAGCGAATGTCCTGTATCAAGCTGCGGGTGCAGTGAATGTGCTGTATCAAGCTGTGGGTGCAGTGAATGTCCTGTATCAAGCTGTGGGAGCAGTGAATGTCCTGTATCAAGCTGTGAGTGCAGCGAATGTCCTGTATCAAGCTGTGGGTGCAGTGACTGTCCTGTATTAAGGTGTGGGTGCAGCGAATGTCCTGTATCAAGCTGCGGGTGCAGTGAATGTCCTGTATCAAGCTGTGGGAGCAATGAATGCAGTGAATGTCCTGTATCAAGCTGTGGGTGCAGCGAATGTCCTGTATCAAGCTGTGGGTGCAGCGAATGTCCTGTATCAAGCTGTGGGTGCACTGAATGCAGTGAATGTCCTGTATCTAGCTGTAGGTGCAGTGAATGTCCTGTATCAAGCTGTGGGTGCAGTGAATGTCCTGTATCAAGCTGTGGGTGCAGCGAATGTCCTGTATCAAGCTGTGGGTGCAGCGAATGTCCTGTATCAAGCTGTGGGTGCAGTGAATGTCCTGTATCAAGCTGTGGGTGCAGTGAATGCCCTGTATCAAGCTGTGGGTGCAGTGAATGTCCTGTATCAAGCGGTGGGTGCAGTGAATGCCCTGTATCAAGCTGTGGGTGCAGTGAATGTCCTGTATCAAGCTGTGGGTGCAGTGAATGCCCTGTATGAAGCTGTGGGTGCAGTGAATGCCCTGTATGAAGCTGTGGGTGCAGTGAATGCCCTGTATGAAGCTGTGGGTGCAGTGAATGTCCTGTATCAAGCTGTGGGTGCAGTGAATGCCCTGTATGAAGCTGTGGGTGCAGTGAATGCCCTGTATGAAGCTGTGGGTGCAGTGAATGCCCTGTATGAAGCGGTGGGTGCAGTGAATGCAGTGAATGCCCTGTATCAAGCGGTGGGTGCAGTGAATGTCCTGTATCAAGCGGTGGGTGCAGTGAATGCCCTGTATCAAGCTGCGGGTGCAGTGAATGCCCTGTATCAAGCTGCGGGTGCAGCGAATGTCCTGTATCAAGCTGCGGGTGCAGTGAATGTCCTGTATCAAGCTGTGGGTGCAGTCAATGTCCTGTATCAAACTGTGGGTGCAGTCAATGTCCTGTATCAAGCTGTGGGAGCAGTGAATGCAGTGAATGTCCTGTATCAAGCTGTGGGTGCAGCGAATGTCCTGTATCAAGCTGTGGGTGCAGCGAATGTCCTGTATCAAGCTGTGGGTGCAGTGACTGTCCTGTATTAAGGTGTGGGTGCAGCGAATGTCCTGTATCAAGCTGCGGGTGCAGTGAATGTCCTGTATCAAGCTGTGGGTGCAGTGAGTGTCCTGTATCAAGCTGTGGGTGCAGTGAGTGTCCTGTATCAAGCTGTGGGAGCAGTGAATGCAGTGAATGTCCTGTATCAAGCTGTGGGTGCAGCGAATGTCCTGTATCAAGCTGTGGGTGCAGCGACTGTCCTGTATTAAGATGTGGGTGCAGTGAATGTCCTGTATCAAGCGGTGGGTGCAGTGAATGCCCTGTATGAAGCTGTGGGTGCAGTGAATGCAGTGAATGCCCTGTATGAAGCTGTGGGTGCAGCGAATGTCCTGTATGAAGCGGTAGGTGCAGTGAATGCAGTGGCTGCACACAGGGGGAAGGAGCAGGCCTGCACACACTGCCTGAGTTTGCGAGCCGGAGCTGAAGCAGGAAGTGAGAGGGGAACACTCAGACATGTTTGATCACGATGACATGACGGAGGGGAGGAGGAGCGCGAGCAGGGCCTGAAGCTGCTTTACTTCCACACTCGCCGGGGAAGGCTGCCTCACGCTCACCGCTGACCCCCCTCCAGCCCCGGAGCTGATGAGCAGGTAGGCCGCGGCTTCTCTCCATGGGCCCCCGGTACCGCCCTCCCCGACAGCGGGCCGACACCGGGCACCGAGCGGGGGGGAAAGTTTCCCAGAGAGGGGAGCGGAAACATGGCTCCTGCCGGCTGGGAGAGGGGCCGGGTACAGGGGCTGACATGGCAGAGGGAGCGAGCACCGTGTCCGGTGTATAATGTGTCTCCCCGGCCACATCACTGCCAGCCAGCCAGGCAGGGGCCCCCGGAAACCAGCAGGGGCCCCAGCTAGTTCACATAACTTCAGTAATAACAGGGGGGGTGGGGGCAGTGGGTATGGTGTGTGACCCCTGGCACTGTGTTTATTTTATTTCCATGTCAGTCTGCGCTCATGGTGCGAGCTGTGAGATTGTCCTGCATGTGTGGGGTGAGCATTTCGTGTTTATTTCACAGTTGTTGGTGTTGGTGGGTGGCGGTTACTGAGTGCAGATACTCGGTGAAATGACTGATTAACTCCTTATGAGGTTTCTTTTTTGGGGGGGGGAGGGGAGGGGTGTCTGGTAAAAGTAGTCCAGTCAGCCTTACAGTCTGGGAGATATTACTCTCCCCTGCAGCTGCCACAAGTGATCTCTGGAGTCACATGTTGCAGGCCATGAAGCAAGGCTTTATTTTAAATAGGAAATAGCATGCCACAAGTAAATCACCAGTTGCTGTATGACTACAATTCCTATAATGCTTCACTACTGTAAATGAATCATGGGAAGTGTAGTTCTATTACACTTTGGGGGTATTAAATTTTCATAATCCCTGTTTTTAAATTAGGTATAAAAACAGATGAAGGTGACTTAAAAAAAAAATAAATATATATATATATATATTTAAAATTTATTATTATTATTATTATTATTATTATTTCCCAATGACATTGAGATGGAAAAGAAACAAGGAATTACTTTGTCAGCATATTGTGAGTTTTAAAAACCGTAGTGATCAATATTTGAAAAAACACTCAGAAAACACTGTACCAGTGTTTGCAAGGGTCAGAGCAAAGCAAATTATTTGTCACTGGTATTCAAATCATATAAGATGATCTAGGTCATTCAAATTAATGTTTTAACTGTTTAATCAAAAGTGTAGTAACCATTTTCATGATGAAATTACATAATATGTTTGATTTCCCACTCATGGTAAATGATCAGTTGTCGTGCAGTACAACAAACTGTTAAAACTGTAATAGTGGTGTATTTCAGAAGCATGGTGTATTTAAAAGAGTCTCTTAAGTCCCATTTCCTTGTGGGGCTACTAATACCGGAGTAGCTCTAGCAAGGCAAAATAATAAGATTTGCAATTGGCCAATTCTGTTTCTATGGTACCAGGTCAGGTAGGGAAGATTAGGACCTGAGCCTTGGGCTCTGAGGAAGAGCTTCAGAGGTATTAGAAGAAGGCATAATGGAAACGTGACTATAATTTGTGCAATATCCTATACATTTTTCCGAACAGTGATGAGCTACTTTTTATGTATGTACTGCTGTGACAACTTCTGTTAGTGCTTGATTTTCATTTTGCTTGGAAATACTATGAATACTGGTGTGCATTGCTCCCCTGTTTAATTCCTTGTTTACTATGTGCAAGACCAATAAAATAGGATGAGCTTTAGAACACTCTCTGAGGCTTTCTAACTATTCATGTTACTATTGGTTTAACATGGACTGATCCGAGAATGTATTGTACATTAAATGTTCTGAAAAATAGTTCATGTAAGGATACATGGGTACTTTTTCATCTAAGCCCTTGTGATTACACCAACAAATGATTGTTTATTAAAAATCTCATTAATCTATACTTCCATTGAAAAATAAAACAGCAGTGAGAAATGCAGTACGTTTATTTGCTTTCAGACCCACTGAGCACTACATAAAGGGGCACTATAGTTACCAGAACCACTACAGCTGCTTAATGTAGTTGTTCTCGTGACTACTGCCTGTCTCTGCAGACATTTTAATGTAAACACTGCTTTTTCAGAGAAAAGGCAGTGTTTACATTGCTGCCTAGGGACACCTCCAGTGGCAGTCACTCAGACACGTTTTGTAGCACTGACATTCAACGTGGATATCCTGAACGTTCCTCATAGAGTTGCATTGATTCAATACAGTGTTTTGCATGCACAATTTCCCCCAATGCTTTCCTGTGGTAAAGCATTGGATTGGCTGAGATCATTAAATCTGATGATCTCAGTCAAGGAGGTGAATCGGGGGGCGGAGTCAGGGGACCGGTGAAGCGCTCTAATAAAGGAAAGTAAACTTACCTTTCAAACAGCTGACAAGGGGGTGGGGGGCTAAACACTGCTCTCACAACTATAGTAACAGGAATACATGTTTGTATTCCTGTCACTATAGTGTTACTTTAAAGGGGCACCTTCTTCATCATAAGTTGTTATGGAGTCTGTAAGTCCTGGGCAAACTGTTTTTGAACTGTTTAAGCCCAAAGTTGTTTTCATGGTGCCCATCTACTCAGCCTTCTACCACCTCCTTCGGCCCCTGGCACTCATATGGAAACTTTTCCCTCAGGTGATTGATATAGTCTGATATCGTTACTTGGTGCTTTGATCCTGTCACCGCTGTCCTAGAGGAAAGCTTTCATATTCTTGTTTTTGAGAATTTACCCCGTAAGCTAAAATATTGCCCAGCACCATAAAGTCTTAATTGAGATTAAGTTTTAATGGAGCCCAGAGTGTTCCTTTAACCTCGTAAGGACCAAACTTCTGGAATAAAAGGGAATCATGACATGTCACACATGTCATGTGTCCTTAAGGGGTTAAAGGACACTATAGTCACCAGAACAACTACAGTGTAATGTAGTTGTTTGGGTGTGCATATTCTGTCACTAGTGGTTTGTCCTATGTGCAGCACTGACGTTCAGCGTCTCCACTCTCTGCATAGATGCGCTGAACGTCCCTCATAGAGATGCATTGATTCAAAACACCTTTTACATTGGTTACATGGCGTCCGGACACCTAAATCGTCTTATTACAGCTATAGTGATAGGAATGCATGATAGTATTCCTGTCACAATAGTGTTCCTTCAAGAATATCATATTTAGTAAAATAAGTTGCCCGATGCCCTCATAACAGTAGAGATTAGTGTGATATTCTGCCAGCTTGCTGTAGCAGGCAGATCACTTGTAAATAGCTCTTTAACATATCAAGAAGACACTACACTGCCATAATAATAATGCAATTTTTTTTTTTGAAATCACTCTTTAGCAGTTAAACACCAAGTGAAAACAAGTATGTATTTAATTATGCATTTTATCCATTGGGGTATGTCTTAAAAACAGCTTGCAAAAGCTGCAGGTCTTTTCTCAGAAGTCTTTGCAAGCCCTCCCCTTCTTCCCTAGCCCATACTTTCTGTGGCTGAACAATCACTGGTGTCCCAAATGCAGCTCACTCAGAAGTCTTTGCAAGCCTCTCTAATTTAGCTCCACTGCGCTAACCAAACCAGAAAGTAACAGGACCTGTTGTTCGATTGGCAACCAGGGGTGTATAACAAGGTTAATTTTTAAAAGTGCTGATTTCTAATAAAATCTGCGCTTTATGTAAAATGGAAGGGAAAAAATCAGCAAGCTAAAGTGCTTAAGGGGTCTGGAGTGTCCATTTAAGTTATAGCACAATTTGCTATCAACAAATTTAACTTTATAGTGTTCCGTTGAGATAAACATAAAATCAAGACTGAGAGGTATGCAAAAAAAGAAAGCGCTCAGTTGCAAGTGGAATGCTCTAGTGCAGGCATAGGTAACCTTCGGCACGCCAGATTTTTTGGGCTACACCTCCCGTGATGCTTTGCCAGCTTTATGCATGTCAGAGCATATGGAGGATGTAGTCCAAAACATCTGGAGTGCCAAAGGTTGCCTACCCCTGCGTCGAGTGCAACCATGTTTAGATTACTTTGAGGAAGTTAACTTTTAAAAAAAAATTATTTACATTTTAGGTACTGCAGTCACCTAATCCAACCCTTTTTTGTAGGCAAGGCAGAGGTGGGGGTAAGAAGAACACCTCAAACTCAATTTGCTGACTTATCAAATCTAGGGTTGGCAAAACACACAGAAAATAAGTAAGCTCACGCCCAGGTGAGCTTTCATGTGAATGGCCATTGGAGTGATACTAAAAAAAAACTCCTGTTATTTAAATGTGCATATGGATTTGGGATAGTGTGTAAGCTGATGTGTAATATAGATATTACTGCTCCCCAAGAGTAGTGGGAGTTTGAGTGCACAACTTATTTTTGTATGATAATTATCACTATAGCCTACAGTAGCGGTTATGTTGCCAGGAGTGCCTTGGTGCTGTCCTACAGTAAATATCTAAACTGTTTTGGTACAGTTTGGCCACTTACCTGCAGACCAATTACGCGGCCAACTATGGCGTTCCTTAA